TGAATGCGAAACTCGTGACTTATTGACTGCCGAGCAGTCATACGCAAGACTTTCCATTCGTGATTCCTTCACCCAAGGCGGTGGCTGCGTACGCATGCGTATCCAATCAGACGGACCTCTTTACTCGTGAGCATATCCCTTCTCACATGCAAGATGCCGCGGAGAAGCAGTAGGCTGCAAGAACGAGCGTGCTTGCAAGGCGCTGCCGCCCAGCAGGGCGTGCGAACTGGCAGCAATGCTGGCGAAAGTGCGGTACAAAGAAGAGGCGAAAGCGACGAAGAAAAGGTCGAGGAGGCAAGGGAAGTGAGAGAAGCTCGAGATGCTCGCAACGAGCTCCGCACACCTACCCGCACGCGACGAGACATTGAGCAGGTGTCGCCGTACTTTGAGCGCAAGGGCAAGCCCGCTGCTGAGACCAAGCAGCAAAAAGGCTCTTCGCACACGAGCAAGAGACGCAGAGTGCAGGTGCCGCTCAGTCGTGACAGAGAAATTGCCTTCTTGAACGCAGCGAATCCAGACGTTGATGAAGACGAGTCATCGCGCGAGACCAGCCAGGGCAAGGAGCGTGCTCGGCCCAAGAGAAATGATTTGCAATGGCACGGCTCGGAAGCAACGTATCATGAAGACAAACCGCACCGCATACACGGCAAATCCAGAAGCGAGTCGTTCTTTGGCATGATTCAGGAAATCGTCAAGGATGATTCGTGGATGGTCTTGATCGCCACGTAAGTACCGCTCACGCTTGCTTCGCTGTGAGAAGCACGCAGTCTGGCATGCTCACGTCGCGCCGCATTCCACTTAGCATGCTGCTCAACCAAACCCACGGCTCTAAAGCTGTTCCAGTCTTTTGGAAGCTTTTGCATCAATTTCCCACACCAGAAGCTCTGGCAAAGGCTGACCTGCGCGAGCTGACTGATATGATACAGCCGATAGGTCTGCACAACATTCGAGCTGCTCGCCTCAAGTCCTTCAGCCAAGCTTGGCTAGATCTGCCACCGTGGCGCGCCGAATCGAGCAGATGCAGAGATCCAAAAGCTCGTGATCGCAGACTGCCCGGGACCAGTGCATACCCTCTCACTCCTGTTGCTCATCTGCCAGGAGCAGGCAGGTACGCCGTCGATTCGTGGGCCATCTTTTGTCATGCTGGGGGCGCGTCACAAGGCTTGGCAGATCCGGATGAAGCAGCACGCAGCTCCAAAGAGCTTGCAGAGGTGTTGCGAAGGAGACGAGAGGTGTCAAGAGATGAATATGGCGTGAGCAGCGGCTCTATAGCGCGGCGGAAAGAGCATGGATCTCTAACATCGCAAGTAGAGACGCCACTCTGGAGAAGCATGATACCCTTGGATAAAGAGCTGCGGAATTATTTGAAGTGGAGGTGGGCCAAAGAAGGCGTGCAATTCGACTCCGAGCGCGGCGTGATAGGACAGCTCGAGGAAGAGGAGTTGGCGCTGCCCCAAGAATGACATGCACTTCTGCCATGATTCACATCATTTGCCATCGGAGAGGAGCTCTCTGGCTCTAGCGTCGAACGTGGTGAGATCGTGCTCTGCGAAACGTGGTTTGTATCCTTGAGCAGGTAGTCGCTGGGGTGCCAAGGTGTCTACTGGACGAGGCAGAGGCACCTCTTCTCCGACAATGTGCGTGTAGTCCGCCATCACCCTTGGTAGGTGCCACGGCTTGAGGGAGGGGAAGTGCGTCGAGATGGCTTCCATCAGCGTCTATTGGAGGATGGAGGATGGAGGATGAATCCAGATTGTCAGCATTTCTGTTTCATTTCGTGCCAGTATCTGACCAGCCACGTCACGCTCACTTGGAAAATCCACTGGTGCATCCGGATGCGCAGGAGGTCAGATTCAGCTAGCGTGCCGTGATGACTCGATCACGTCCCTCTACTCACGTGGTATCCCTCAGGTCGAATGTGTAGGCCATCCTCTACAATGTAGTCGTGCAGGCCGTTGAAGCGCTTCTTGGCATCGTCGAGCATTCGCATCATCTCGACCGGCTTGACGTTGCTCTTGCTCAGACCGGCGACGAGCTTCACACCAGCGCCACTGATCTCTTGCGATGCTGCTGTAGTGTTGTGCTTGCTAGGTATGGAGAGACTGTCGAGGCAAGGTGCTGGAGTGAGCACAAGAATGGGCACCCCAGCTCCACACCTCTCCTCGATTTCTTGCAGCATCGCTTTCATGTTGCCTTCGAACTCGCTGACTGGACGCTGAGGCCAATGTGGTCAGACGGACAGCGTCAGCCAACATACAGGCTGCGTGCGTGCCTCGAGATCTGCTATCTGCTGTCGCCTCACGTGCTGCGAAGTTCCTTTCAATTTGGCATCGTTGGTCCCGAACCAAACGACGACGAGGGCCGCTTTCCCGCCGACTTCACGCTGATCGCTACGTTGGAAAACGTGAGGAACAATGGCTCGTGCTGTTTCGAAAGAAGACGATGCTCGCATCAGTGCTTCGAACCGCGTCCCACTCGATGAACCATCGACCAACGAAGACTGATCGCACCAACCTTCTCGAGTGGTGTAACCGCTAAAGCCTCGCTTCACAACTGCAGGAGGCGGTTTGATCTGTCTGCTCAGTGAGCGATTTCGCGTCTCTCGACCGCCACATTCCCACTTGCCCACCTCCACTCACCCTCGAGCTTGTGCTGATACGCGGTCTGCAGCAAGCCCACCAGCAAGTCGCCATGTTCGAATTGGCTGTCGCCGAACAAGATGATCTGATCGTAGATTCGAGACGCCATCTTCTCAGCTTGTCAGGACGCTGCGAATGAGTATTCTGTCTGACTTGACTTGGTGAACTTTTGCTGAGATGACGGTGATTCTAAGAAATCTTTGCGACCGCCTTTTGAATCCGCTCTTGACGTCGGATTGATGGATAGCCGTGAGCTGAAACGGTTTGGGGGGCGTTCCATACCGTGCGTGCACATCACGCTATCTCTCACCCACCGTACTCTCATCATCTTCGTGTGGAGGGCGCGTGCGCG